GAATCTGAATGGAAAGAAAGTTAAATTTGAATTGATTGGTTAATTAATTAGGAAAGCAAATCAACACATAAATATTCCAGTTCAAACGGGAGGCTCAACGAGCGAGGCGAATTGATCTAAATAATGAGAAATAGTTTTTCTAATTTGAGTTCATGTAACAACCCGACTGGTCGTTTTGCCTTCTAGAATCCCGTTCCCCTAAATAAGACTATTCGTACTTGCTTTAACTAATTTTCGGCTTGCGGGTATAGTTGGTTCGGGATTTGGAAGAGTTTGGATTGAAATCAAAACACTTAGTTCCTTAAGGTTGGCTTAAAAGGCCAAGTTTGACTTTGGTCAACATTTTTAGTAAATGGACCCGGACTGGCATTTTGACGGTCCCGGAGGGTCCGTTGGAAAATATGGGACCTGGGCATATGCCCGAAATTGAATTCCGAGGTCCCTAGCCCGAGTAATGAATTTTTGATAAAAATTATTAAACTGAAATTCTAAGGATTTAAAGAATTGAATAATGTTTGATCATGTTGGTATCGGCCCCGTATATTGGTTCCGGATCCCCATACAGGTCCAATATAATATTTAAGTCTTGTCTGTGAAATTTGGTGAGAAACGGGACTGATTTGACGTGATTCGGACGTCCGGTTGTAAAAATAGGAATTTGAGTGTACTTAAGGATTTCATGCGTTTTGGAGTTGACTCCGTAGTTTTAGATGTTATTTCAGCGATTTGATCGCTCCAGCAAGTTTGTAAAATGTTGTTGGACTTGTGTGGGTATTCGGAGTGGAGCCCCAAGGACTCGGGTGAGTTTCGGGCATGGGTTGGGGGTGAAAAACACCCCAGTTTTCTAGTATTTTTGGGAAGTGTTGCAGGTCTCGCAATTGCAAGGAAATTATTTGCAATTGCGAACCTCGCATTTGCGAGGAAAGCATCGCATTTGCGATGAAGCCAACTCGGGGCAGTTGTCGCATTTGCGACATTATCTTAGCATTTGTGAGCCCAGCGGGGTCCACATTTGCGACCCCTGTATCGCATTTGCGATCAAGGCAGGGGGAGACCCGGTTCACAATTGAGATCCTTTTGTCGCAATTGCGACTTCGCATTTGCGAACATGATGTCGTAAATGCGACATTAAAGGCCTGGACACAGCTTTTAAAACAGGACTTAGGCCATTTATTTCATTTCACCTCTACACTTGGGCGATTTGGGAGCTTTCAAAAAGGGGATTTCAACCTAGCATTGTGAGGTAAGTTATTTCTACTTAATGTGAGTTTAATACTTGGGTTTTGGGTAGATTAACACACAAAAATTAGTAAAACATTTGGGATTTGAGTAAAACCTAGGGTTTTGATAAAAAATAAGATTTAACCACGAAATTTATTATAGAATGAAGTAGAAATTATATATTATTGATCCTTAGGATATGGGTAACAATTTTCTTCAAAATTTTCCGAAATCCGGGCACGTGGGCCCGGGGTCGAATTTTAGGAATCTTGTAATTTGGATTGGGGAATCACCCTAGTGGTTGGGATATGAACCTTTAAGCCTATATTGATTGGTTTCTACGCTATTTGGATAGTTTTGGAGAGTTTGGCACCAAATTGAGGGTTTGGGCTTAAGCTTGGACTGGAATGGAGCGAGGTGAGTCTCCTTTCTAACCTTGTAAGAGGAAAATGTCCCCATAGGGGAGTTAATTAATCGTGTGTTGCTAATTGTGGGAGCTACGTACGCACGAGGTGACGAGAGTCCGTGCATAGCTACTATTGTGTTAATTGTCCGGGTAGTTTAGGACCCGCATCATGCTATATTTGCAAATGTCTATATCCTCTTATGTTAATGAGATCACTTAGGACATGTTAGGGGTTGGAAATAAATGTATAAGAACGTATGCACTTACTTGACAACTTGTGTGAATTTATGTGACTATGAATGCGCCTTATGTGCCTTCTTGATGATAATTGATATTTGTGGATCGGGCCGATCGCCTCGGTAGAAATAGATGCATATATGGTTCGCGCCATTCGACCCTCTAGCAGTGCACATTTTCTTTTTATGTTGGACTGGGCCATACGACCTCGGCATGATGTGCGCATGACATTTATGTGAAATCTTATTCATGACTTACTCTGATAAATGCCTTGAATTGAAATCATATAAGACATGGCTGGAATTGATATATATTGATCTCTGTAAACTCTGAGTTTGTAATTTTTGCCATATTATCCATGCTTAGTGAAATCTTAAATCATTATTGGTATTGACCTTAATAAGTGTCATGTGGATCCCTCGTCATTACTTCTTCGAGGTTAGACTGGATACTTACTGGGTACATGTTGTTTATGTACTCATACTACGCTTATGTACTTAATTGTACAGGATCTGAGGCAGGTACATCTGGCTATCCGTCTGGTGCACATTCTTGATAGAGTCCCGAGATTCCACGGTGAGCTGCCCTTCTCCCACACCGTTCAACAGCGTGATGGAGTCTCTCTGTACTTTTGGCTGTCTATTCTAGTTCAGACAGTAGGATAGATTTATTCTTTTGTGTATTCTACTATATGCCCATACACTTGTGACACCAGGTCTTGGCAAACACATTAGTAGACAATTCTTTTGGTTTATATAATTATTATCTTACATTGCTGAATATCACTTGTTTATGATTTAAATGAACAAATTGTCGGAACTGTTTCGGAAAAGTAAAACGAGAATTCACTAATATGTAGAGTTGGCTTGCCTGACAACGGTGTTGGGCGCCATCACGACCTATAGCTAAACTGGGTCGTGACTGTTCACAACAAAAATAACAGGAAAAACAAAAACGTGTTTGTTACTAGAAATAAGACTAAAAAATCTAGGTTTGAACCCATAATCATAATTACCGAATTGTTGGATCAAAACTTGACTTTCGTAACTACCTTAGGGATAATGTTTAACTATGAATCGACTGAGACATTGGCTAAACAAATGTCAATTGTGTTGCCTTATGGTAAAATAAATTATCCAATATTTTATAATTTATTTTAGTCAATTGTTTGGAAGCAATACATACATTTATTTTTGTTTTTTTATTTTTCTATTAGTGCTAGCAGTTGCTATGCTAAAATATATAAGAAGGGAGGATAGATTCTTCTCTAATGGCTCAGGTATGGACAATGACTTTTTAGCGCGTTGTTGATATTTATGTTCTCTTAAATTGTGTGAGCCAATTGATCGAGCAACCGATGGGGTCGAATAAGGTAAGATTCATTTAATTAAGAATTACATGTAAGAACTCATCTTCTTTTAGTACACGTGCATCGTGGAAGAAAAATATTTAAAGTAGGTTAATATTTATTTAATTATAATATATTAATCTTAACTATATCCCAAATGTATCATTTAAATTGTTAAAAATAAATGTGACTTTAATTATGTGGTTAAAATTGAGGTAACTAGCAAAATTATTGAGCAAATTACGATCCAACTATTTTATAAGTTGGTAACTCCACAAGTAGAATTTATTGTTTGTTAATAAATTATCATGTATGTATATATATTTTGTCACCGTATAATTTTAGGTTGGTAGAAGTTGATGTTAATGTGAGAATTTATTATATCGAGATAATAATATAATATATTTTTATAATTTAAATTGTATTACTAAATGTATTTTTATTTGTTNTTCACTCAGTTTCAATATAGATGAGACAGTTTGACTTGGCACGAAATTTAAGAACGAAAAAGAAAACTTTTGAAACTTATGATCCTAATAGTTTTGTGGAGCCATGATATTTGCATGGATGTAAGAACTTCTCATTATATGTAAAATAGGTAAAATAAAAAATTTAAAATTAAATTATTTCCAAATATAGAAACGTGTCATTCTTTTGGAACAGACTAATAAGAAAAATATGTTATGTAAATTGAAAGGGAAGGAGTATTTATTTTTGAATCATATTGTATTTTTATTTGTTTGTACCATCGGCTATATATGAGATTATAATATTTAAGTTTTTGTCAATAGTTATTCATATAAACTGTTCTTTTTAATTTATAGAATTTAGCATGATCATAATATCATCCGCACATCGTGCGGGTACTAATACTAGTTAGGGAAAATAATACATATATTAACCTTGGTATTACGGATCTCTTGTTCGGTAGTTATACACTTCATTCACTACTATATTTGTACATATCAAATCATGTTATTAGTAATATTATGGGTTTTAATACATGAATAAGCATGAATAAAGGTAGAACTATCATTTTACAACCTTTAATACACCAAACCAAACAGTTGATAAGAAATAATTACAGCATAACAACCCCAATAATACTAATACCATATATTTAGTACTATCCTTGTACACCCTACCAAACGATCTCTTATATATCAATTTAATTTGATAGTGCAGTTCTTTTATACACTAAATATAAAAAAAGTTAAATTAAATTATCTTTAAATATAAAATATATTATTTTTGGGATAAATTAAAAAAGAAAAGATAGTTACACGAAAATCCTATACAGAAATACTTTTTAATTTTTATGCAGCCAACCAAATATTATATTTATGAAAATATAAGGGAAAAGAAACAAAAATGTGAGAAATCACAACCAAACAGCTCCAATCCAATCCAATTCACCTACCTTTTTGACCATCTCTTGTCCTTTTTCTCTCCATAAAAATAAAACAAAGTCAGCTCTTCCATTCTTCTGATCTTCTCCACTTCATCCCCCCTCCCCCCCAAGATTCCATTGTCAGACCCCCACTACCCCCACCCCCACCCTCCTCTCTACTACAGTTTCTTTTTTAGATTGCAGTCTTTATTACGACAGTATTAGTTATGGATCTGATCCCTTCGATTTAATACTGCTCTGTCCCCGCAGTAGTGAATCGGCTGATCTGTTTTTCCGGTAACTCTGCCGCCCCTTATATATATATATGTATATATATATTTCTTTTTGTTTTTTCTTTCCCTTCCCCCCTTTATGTGTTTTTTTTATAAGCTCCTCTTCGTGCTCTGCACCTTTATGAATTATGACCGCCACCAACTGTTCTCTCTTTTTTCACGTACACCATTATACAAGATAAGTATCCCTACATTAATTGCACACTGTTATTTTCAGATATATATATATACATATACATATACATATACATATACTATATGTTTAGAGAGAGAAAGAGTTGACCTTTTATGTAAACTTGGGTAGCTGTGTAACACAGCCTGTGTTAATATTTGCTGGCTTCCCACTCTCTCTTTTCATTCACATTCATTGCGTTTTCTAACTTCACATACAGTTTCTCTCTTTCTATATTTCCTTAAAGAAGCAAATCAAAACGGCATGATCTTTTGTCGTTTTGTAAGCTAAGTGTATATTAACTGTCCGACTTCATCTCATCTCATCTCTATTCTTCTTCTTCTTCACAACAAGACAAATTAAGGTGTGTTTGGTTTTTTTATTTTTCGAATTTGTTGTGTATTTGGAGATTGTTTTTAAAATCTTTGGATTGATCTGCTTATTTAGTTTGATTCTGCAATTGGGTTTTTCAATTTTCTTGGCAAAGATGTGATTTTTACTCGTATTTCATTATTTTTAAGAACTTTTTTAAGTAGTAAGGTTCTATTTTTTTCTATGATTTGATAAAATTTGCTAGTTTTAAGTGTATTTGGAGATTGTGTGTCAAATCTTTGAATTATTCTTCATATTAGTTTGTTGGATTTTCAATTTTCATGACAAAGTTTGGATTTTTTTCCTCGTATTTCTTTTTTTTTTTTTAAATAGTTTTTTTTTAAGTAGTAAGCTTCTATTTGTGTATTTATAAAATTATATTGTATTTTAATCTGATGAAATTTGGTGTTTTTTAATGTTTTGCAGTGGAACCAGAAGCAGAAAAAAATTCCTTTGATCCACTTTTAGCCAGGTAAAGTTATATGCTAATCATTTGATTAAATAATTAAAAAGTAATTCTTTTTCTTATGGGTTATGAGATTGTGAATTTTCTTGGGATCCCATGACAACCTGTCAGAATGTATCATTGTGAAGAAATCTTTTTCTTTTTAATTTTTTTTGTTAACTCTTTATGAAGAGATTTTGTTATTAAAGAATATAGATTTAGTTATAAATGATTAGGTTTTTTTTAGCTAAAGAACAAAATGGATGGTGGAGATTGATCTTTAATATGAACTCATTTGAACTTTGTACAAATTTTTCAAAAGGGTGACCATTTCTTGTCTTTTTCTTCAAAAGTGGACAAAGTTAAGATTCCTGGTGGTTTTGGCAATTGAAACATAAATTCACTATTTTATTGAAAGGAACACAATTTGAACTAAAGAAAGTCTCTAAAAGATAAAATAAAGATGACGTCTGACTGATTTTACTTTGTTTTAATTTACATTATGGGCATCTTATGATTGAGATGATTTAGCACCTTTTGGTTTCTTTGAGTTTCTGCAAAAAGTGGGAATCCTATGTTGAATAGAATATTAACTTATGAGTGGCATATAAGTCTGAGCCTCACCTGTTTTCTGGCCATGAGGTTGAACTATTCTCTTGAATTGAATTTTAGTTAATTTGAACTTTTTTCTAGTTGTGTTTAATTATTCATCAATTCACTGTAAGCTAGTCAAGTGGTGAATTCAGGATTTATAGTCAGTGAGGTTCTACTATATGTGCCAATATTTTTCTTCTCACACACACATAGAGTCTGTTGAACTCGCTGCGTCTAGTAGATCCACCACTAAACGGATCATTAAACTTTAAAGGTTGATATATATTAGATAGTGGTATCTCAAACCCACATCCCTTGGGTGCGACCCTTTGCCGACCATACGTGAACGTGGAATACTCTGCCGTAGTGGTATCTCTAACCTGTTGAGCCTAGGGGTATGCATTCAATTTATCGATTCGATTTTGACCCTTATCGATAATTACTTATCGATTATCGATTTGTACATATGCTTATCGTTATCGTTTCAATAAGGTTTCGATTTTTTCGATTTCGATTTATCAATTTTTGGGGCTTATCGATTCGGTTATCGATTACACCAATAAGAAAATTTGCGGGATTCCACGGAAAGTATATCACTAAAAACACGCCTAACTAATATGGACCAAAAGAAGCTAAAATAAGAACGAACACCGTTTATAACATTAAAATTGTGTCAACAAGCACATGCAACGAAACTAAATTAAGGGATCAAATGTATGCCACCAACACTCCTACGGTATAAAAAAAATACATCATCACGGCTAATTCTATTTTCCATTAATTTGAACTTCATTCCTTTGAGCTTTAAATATGATCATTCCTTAAATTTTGTAGATGAAATAATAGGGTTAGGGACTTAGGGTAAAGGAAAGGGTATTATAGAATAAGGGCAAAAAAAATAAAAATAAAAAAAAAACTAAAAAAATAATTAAAATAAATTAATTTTTTTTTTTTGTATTTCTTATCGGTTTATCGATAAACCAATAAACCGAAGAGGGCAAAATCGAAATCGATAACTCGATAAGGAAAATTTTGAAATCGAAATCGAAATCGATAAACCGATAACAAATAATCGATTCGATTTATCGATAAACCGATTCGAATGCACACCCCTAGTTGAGCCAAGTTTGCTTCATTTGGCATTCTTGGCCACTATTTTCAGTATTATTAGTGTGATTTGGCATTCTAGCATTTTTCCTCAAAATTATGCTGGGCATGTGTTAAAATCTGCTCTGATTCTGGGAAGTTGCAGGAGATTTCAGCCAATGTTCTTAAATATATTCTTGAAATTTATATTGACACAGGTTTCTGAGTCTGTGTTTCTTCCTGGCTACTTTGATGTTTGCTTCACAGCTTTTGAGGATTCTCCAGACTTTACCAGCTGATGCAAACCATGAAATCTGGTGTGTACTCGAACTCCTGTTTCTTCTTTGTGCACTGCAGTTTTTAGTGTGTTTTGAAAATAAGTACAAAGTAAAAAAAAAACACGAAGTACTCGTATCAAACCTGATTGACATGGGTACGCTAAGGAAATTGAAGAATCATTGTAACATAGTACTCAAGTTTTTATGACTAACCGTTGTTTTTTTCCATTGTTAATCACCTTACTGTCTTGTTGTTTTTATTCTGCTTTTATATGGCTTTTTGGTACTGTCCCTTCTTGTCTATATTTTCATTAATATGGTGCTTATGCTTTCCTTAGCCGAGGGTCTATTGGAAACAACCTCTCTATACTCACAAGGTAGGGGTAAGGTCTGCGTACACACTACCCTCCCCAGACCCCACAGTGTGGGATATTACTGGGTATGTTGTTGTTGTTATTGTAACATAGTACTCAACCGACGTTTATGTTTTCCTATTTTAGTTTCAAGTAATAAAAATTCACTTGATAAGCGTTGAAATGTCATGTTGTCTTATATTTGTTTCTAAGATATATTTACTTTGGGAGTTTTTTGATAGTTTTTAATGTATTATTCCTACAAATCTTGATCCCTGCATTGAGAAGTTAAATTCGACTGCAGATAACCATCCTCTGTTTTGTGATTCAAACCTAGTCTCTGTGCATGATTCTAAAACATTTGAATGCAACAACAGCGTCCTTGACACAGCTGAAGAGAAGCCTACCATGAAGGGAAATCAGAACGGGATATTAAGTCATTCAAATGGTTACGAGGAGGAAGATTCTTTAGGTTTTCCAACAAAAGACTTTGCGAATACAAATGTCCATGGTCATAGCGAAGACCCTTTGGCGCGCGACACTGAAGATGGGAATGAATTCTGGAAAGTTCCTGAACTTGGTGACTCTATATTTTTTGATAACAACAATGAAATTAAGGCTTCAAGTGTGAGGGACGATCAAAATGCGGACATGTCGAAAGTAATCGCTGACAAGAGAGGTGGAAATCCTTTTGCCTGTGACTTTCCCTTAAGTAATACAAATGAAATTGATGTTGCAAGTGTGACGGATGATCAAAATGGAGGTTTGTCTAATATTATCCATAGCAAGAGGGGTGGAAATCCATTTGAATGTGATACAAAAGATCGAGATCAGCCATGGAATATTCCAGAATATGAGTGCTCCATGATTGTTGATTTCCTTGATCACAAAGAAAATAAAACCATAGACTCTGATTCGCCTTTTACCTCTCACTCAGAGTTGTTTGAGAATAACACAAATTTATATAGCGATAAAGGTGTCACCGATCATGATCTGCCTGAATTGACAGTTTGCTACAGAGAGAGTAACTTTAACATTGTTAAAGATATATGCATGGATGAAGGTGTACCTGCAGTGGATAAAGTTTTAATTGAAAGCTGGAAAGATGATCAACCTAGCACGTCCGTTTCTGTTGGTGCTGATGAAGACCAGCAGAGCAACACAAGGGAAAGTGTCGATGAGGGGTCGCTCAGTTCATCTGTATTGAAAGATTCATCTGTCGAAGACGCCAAGAATGTCGTTGTGAGTCATGATATAGAACAAGAGCAGGCTACTGTTCCAAATGGTTTCAATCCCTCCGCAGAAGATAATGCCAACAAAAATGCTGATAAGGATTCTTATCTTGAGGATTTGATGATGATTTTTGGTTCAAAATGTAGTGCAAATGGAAAAGCTACTAGTGCAACAGAAAAGGCATCATCTCCTAATAACGTGGTTCGTTTGGAGGAGTCCAAAGTTAATAATTCTCAAAAAGCTAACTCTGATGGTGATCATTCTGCTCTGCAACCTGATCAGGTATGTTCCTATTATATTTACAGATAGACCTATTAGTATAGGCGTATATTCTTTGGACACATTCTTTTGGTTGATAATTTTTGAGGATTTATTTTCTTGAACTGCAGATGCCTTCTGAGCAAGCAACTTTGAAAAGCCAGACTGCAGCGGTCTCTGCAGCTGATGAGACAAACAACAGTGGTCCAGCTTCCAACTTATTTCACAATAGCAAGAAGGAAACTGGAGCTAGTATTTTCGACTTCAACTCGACCAAGCCAGACTCCAACAAAAGCAAGGAAAAAGGTGTTGAAAATTTGCCTGAAGATTCTCTCATGTCAAAGGTCATCGCCGTTCACAAGGATGGGAATTATGATGGTCTTTCAGCTGCTAGTCAAGCTCATAACAGTGTGGACAATACTGCTGACATTGTTCACCAAAAATCCCAAAATGGGGCTAATCCTGAAGATAAACTCTCTGATAACTTTCCACCAGGTGACCAAGGTCATTTTGCGGATGGAGAGGCAAGTTTTTCTGTAATTCCTGCATCAGGTTCTATTTCTTACTCAGGGCCTATATCGTATTCTGGGAGCATCTCTCTTCGATCAGACGCCAGCACAACCAGTGCCAGATCCTTTGCCTTCCCAGTGTAATGCTTTGCTACTTCTCATGCTTTAAGTTTCGGGCAAGTGCACAGATAACCATTCTCAGGGATGCTATTTAGAGATTAACCAATACTTATTTTGTCTTGAAAATTTAAACTAAAAATCTTTACTTCAAGACAACTCAAAACATTTTTGCGCTGAAAAATTAAACTGAAATTCAGGACACACCGACTACTTCCTAAATAGCAGCCCTTTAGAGTGGCTACCTAGTGTCATTTCTACTTAAGTTTCCTTTTCATTTCCAGTTAATCCTGATTTGTAACTTGTGATTAACATTTTCCGGTTCTTTTTGCAGTTTACAAAATGAATGGAATAGCAGTCCAATAAGAATGGCAAAGGCAGAAAGGAGGCGTTTACGGAAACAAAAGGGTTGGAGGCAGGGCCTTCTGTGTTGTAGATTCTAAATTCTTTTTTATTTTATTTATTCTATTTATAAGGATCTTAGTGCAAAATATACAAAAGCTTAAATCTTGAACATTTTGAGTACTGTAAGTATACATGTTGATATTCTCTTAGGGGGTGGCATGCTATTCTTGGTAGGTTTTACATGGCTTTAGAGTTTGTTTTATTAAACATGGAGGCTGCAGATGTAAACTTTTCTTGCATCTTTATTTTCCTTATACATTCTATCCTATACTCATCTACTGTTCACTTGATGGGAGTTCTTAGTATGTATATTGTTGCAGATTGGGTTAGCTACTATCAGTTATTACCATATATATTTGTTGTTAGTGGACTTACTAGGCGCGAATCTGAATTAGTTGGGCCAATAGAATCGGATACTGAAGGGGAGCCTTGGTGTAACTGGTAAAGTTATTGCCATGTGACCAGGAGGTCACGGGTTCAAGCTGTGGAAACAGCCTCTTGTAGAAATGCAGGGTAAGGTTGCGTACAATAGACACTTGTGGTCCGGCCCTTCCCCGGATCCCGCACATAGCGGTCCCTTCTTTTCTCTGGTCACTGCCAGTGATTCTTGTTCTTTGCAATTTTGGACATGTAATTCTTTACAAATGTGGGCTTCTCATTTATTGAGGGAACAAAGCCCACATGTTGTAGGAATGCCTGATGAAGCAAGGCCTTGGCTAGGAAATTTCTGTCCTTTCACTCTTTTGGTCAAGGCCCATTGTGTTGACCATTAAAAATTATCTCTGAATATCCGTTGTTGTGTTTACACAAACATCCGATTATATTCACTGTTTACTTTTTCTAGCCATATACATATATTATACATTAATTATACACAATTATACAGAGGAACAATTCAGTGATTTGAGAGTTCACAATTCAATTGATTTCAGTGGCCTAATGACCTCCAACTGGGCTTTATTTAATCCTCGCAAATTGTATGGAGAAGAAAGTATCAAATTCTTTCGGGGGTCGTTTGGTATCAGAGATAAAGATAATAACCTTGGGATAAAATATGAAATTATTTTATTTTGTATTTGCATGAAATACATGATATTGGGGGCTAAGATTCTTGAAAGGGATTTCTCTTGAAATCTTATAATGTACCAAAAACAAAAGAAACATCTGAGAAAAACCAAAGATGAAAGAAGAAAAGGAATAGAGGACAATGCAAGTCATGAACTTCTTTTTCTTTCAAAACATAACTTAAATTATCATCAAGTCTTTGGTTCAAATTCTACCGGAGAAAAAAACACTAGGTGATTCCTTTCATCTGTTCAAATCTTGGTGAACATGGTCATCTAGTAGCCTTGTTAGTCAGAGATAATAGATACTATATAGAACTAGTCGAGGTGTATGTAAGCTGGCTCCGATAACACAAATACAAAGAAATTAAATTAAATTATCACATCGGATTTGCTAGACAGACATACGTGAAGAAATGTAACAATTTTGTCAGCATATTATAACCTCTCTTCTTATTACACGGATGAATGGTCCTACAAGGGTAGGATGTTAGGTAACACAAAATCAACCTAAATGGTGTGAAGGTTCCTAAAAAGGCAAAAAACTCAAAAAATATGTATTTTTACATCTACTTTATTTTTTGAAACTCTGAGTTTTGTGCTTTGTGTATGTTTTCTTTCTCCCTTCTTTTCCTTGGACTCTGTGGCCTTTAGCCCTTTACCTTCCTTCCTTCCTTCTTTGACTGCTATAAATTGAAACCTTCATTCCCAAAAGAATGACACTTTCATTTTAATTACAACATCAGCCCGTTAACAAATTAACTATAAGAATGGAAATCATCAGAATCATCTCTACTCTACTCATTTGTTTCTCATTATTCATGTTATCTTCATTTTCATTTGCTGCTCCACTGATAGGTATTTCATCATTTTCTTTCTATCCCTTAGTCTTTTTTTTTCCATGCACTTCATTTTATTGTAATTTTTGGCAGATCATGAAATGAAGATGACTCTCTCTTCAAGTCCTAGAAAGCTGAAACTCAATGAACAGCCAAATGTAATGAGTTTACTTTTTGTTTTTCTATTTTCCTTTATATTCTTGAGTATTATATAAGCTAGGATTCCCTCTTTTTTCTTTTCATATTTTCCAGTATATGGTTGTGCTTTTTCATGTAATGTAAATGACATGTTGTTTTTTGTATGAAGCAGGTGAAAAGCAAGGGAGATCCAAATCATTTGGTCCCATTCAATACTGCAAAACAAGCTTTACTACCAGGTAATTTGCACCTTTTTTTTTTTTTTAATTTTTTGGTTTCGCTATATGATAATGTGTTGCAAACATGCAGAGTATATTTTTATGTGTGTGTCCAGTAGCAAAACCAAAAATTTACTAAGGGTGTTCAAATTTAAAAGAAAGAAAAAACAAATTCCCGATAAAAAATGTTCAATATATGTTATGTACCTCTAAAACCTGGTATTTTACCTATAACGCACCATAATTTTCCGACAAAGGGTGGTTGACCACCCTTACTAAAGTGTAGCTTCGCCCCTGTTTGCGTCTATATATGTATTATCAATTTAATCTTGTATGGTAACAATAGCATTAACTGGTTTCATGCATGACGTATATATTGTTCATATCTAAGAGATAAATACAAGTTTCTTCCGTTAAAACTGAAAAGTACAGGACTAGCTTCATCATTTTTTAAATAATATGGCCTAAAAGTTTAATATTTTGAAGGATCTTTGTACTTTGACTAACTAACTAAGGTTTCCAATGATATGCTGATATTCCATAATTTCATGCGTAGTCTTTTTTACTTAATTTAATATTATATGGTGCAGAATCTTAAAGTACGCAATTTATGTTTCGAATTGTCTACTTTTTAACTTCGCAGTTTAACTAGTTCGACGATTTGTCCGCTTTTTGACTAACAAATTTAATTAAAATACTTCCTCTAGTTCATAAGATCTTTTCTTAAATGTTTTCTTTACGTTTCTTAAGAAAGACATTTATAATAGTCTTAATCATAAAAGTTTATATATAAACTTTCAATTGTCTCTCTGTAAACATCTAACTTAATTAACACTACACTAACTAGAGTAAAAACATATTTGAAAAAAAAAAACGTACTTATCAAATAATCTCTTATTTTTTTCCAAAACGTCAAGTATTTTGAAACAAATTCATTAGTTTGTCAAAATTATTAATATACAGTCAGATATCTTTATACTAACATCCTCTATAACAACACTTAACAATAACAGCCAAGTTTTCATGTTATGTTATAATATATGTTCTCTTCAACAATACTTTACTACAACATTTAAATTTTTTTAAAACAAACGAGGTCGTTATAGAGATGTTTGACCGTACGAGATCGGAGAAAGTAACTAATGTCATGTTTGTGACTTCTTTAGGTAAAGAACATGAACAAGATCAAGCTGCAATCATGGTGCATGCAAGAAAAGGGACAAGACAAGAGTGGGTTGAAGGGAAAGACACTTCTGATTTCTTTACAATGGATTATCATTGGGTTAGAAGACGACGTCCCATACATAACAAGTCAATTCGCCCATGAAAACCAAGATCCTTTATTTAGGTTTTATTTTAACTTAATTAGTTTACTATTATTATATAGTGATTCCCAAATATATATATCAGTAGAAAAATATAGTTGTTGGGAATACAATTTTGACTAATTAGGAAAATGAAGTGTATGTTTTGTTGTAATTAGGAGTTTATAAGAATATGAGGATTATGTCGTGTTGTATCTTTGTTTATGGCCGACATTAAACCCTAACTTTTGCTACTAACAAGAAACCTCTACCTTAGTTCCAAGGGGACAAATTTTGTTTATTTATTAGTGTACAATTTTATAAAGGCAGTCAAATTAGTTTTTCTCAAGCCCCAATATTTTGAGAATTGGTGGTTCACACATTACAAGTCATTATTTTAATTTTAGTTTTCCTCGAAAGACAAGATTTCCGTACATTAGGCGCATGAATGTAAGTATCTGGCCATGAGGGATGTGTTTAACTAATCCTTGAAAAATGCAAACTATGTCGACTATAAAATTTAAGTAATTATTTTTTTTGATAGTTCCAAGTTCTAAGTTTCCAATGCAAATGGGTGCAACTTTGCTTCTAGGCAAAGTTAATACAATCAAAAGTCTCTATAACTTGTTTCGATATTTTTTAGCTACTATAATAAAGTATTATTATAGATAATATATATTATAACATAGTTTTTCGTAGAAAACTTGACTATTATAGTAAAATGCTTGTTAGGATCAAAATAATTAGGTGTCACGTGGAAGCTAGTAAAACAAACCTTAAACGAAGATACAATAACAAAAAATATACCAAAAGAGAGAAATATTTAACGTGATTCGGTCAATTGACCTACGTCCGCAGGTGGAGATGAGCAATCCTCTATATAAAAAAAGTACAAAATATCGGAAGAACAAATCTCATAAAAAGGCAAACACAAGTGGTAGGTTAACACTTGTCCCGTAATTTCCCCCCTAAACAAGACTCTCAAACCCCATATGATTACATTGTGGATGCTACTGAATGAGAAGAAATAATCCTCAATTTGTAGAAGTTCAAACCTTTTCCTCCAAGAAAAAGGACTAGCCAAATATGAGAGATTTATAATTTCCTTCTAAAAGAAGCTATGGTAAATATATTATCTTTTCCTTATAGAGATAACAAAGCCAAATATGATAAGAATATCAGGACAAACACCTAACAATGATGTTCATAGAGGATGACTCTTATAAAAAGATTTAATTGTGTTCTTCTTCCAAAATTGTTCTACACTAATTGTGTTCAGCTCGTGGAATTTTTTTAAATTAATATGCTTCATGAGCAAGAAAGTATAAAAGCAAAGACAAGTATATGTCAATTAAGAAATTAATTTTCTAAGTATTTAGAGAACAGAAAAAAGAAAGATAAAAACTTTTCTTACCGTAAAGAATGACATAAAAAAGAAAATAATGGTTACTAGTACTAATATTAAAACTAATCTTTCTTCAAACTCTTTCAAATGGATCTGGGACCTTCGCTGTCCTAATAAAATTAAAATCTTCCCATAGAAATGCTTACATAACCGTATACCTTGTCGAGCCTACCTAAACAAAATTGGCATGAACATTGACACCACTTGCATCGCATGCAGAGTAGGCATAGAAAACATCCAACACATTTTTTGAACTGCTCATTCACACGCCAATTCTGGACGACCATGGGCATCACTTCCCTTAACACAATTGGTGATGTAA